AATCGGTCACAGAGGACCTACTCGCGACCACCAAATTTCGCGAATCCCAGACGCCTGCATTGAAACACTCAAGAATAGAAATTTTCGCTGCCCTTAAATTTTGCAAAATTTTTCAATTCGCGAAATTCCCGAAAATTTAGGGCTTGCGAACATTAAGGGTTTTACAATACGTGTATAGCACAAGTGACGTCAACTTTTTCGCTACATTTAGCGGGGAGCTGAATTGTTGCGATGGACACGTAACGTCAATTTCCCCGCTAAATATAGCGGCAAAATACACGGACGCAAAGGGACAAACAACCGAACGTAAAAATAATTCCAAGGCAAAAAAAAAAAAAAAAAAAATAAGCAAGAAACAAAATTATTGACCTCTTGAACCGAAGAACATATCGTTCACGCGGAAATCCACCAAGTCAAATGCAGACCCACTAAAGCGGAGCTTGGGTCTTGTGAGCGTCATCAGTCACTGCCTCACCACGGGGACAAAGCCTTCGGGCTGTTGCCGACAGTTTTGCCCATCAAGCGTTTTCTCGTTACCATCGGAATGGGAAGAGACAAGAGCGAAAAGTCGGTCTTATCGTCGCTTCCTGATCCCCCCCGTTGACTCGTTTCGTGGCCGTGCGCCATAGGAAAGTTGAAGAGTGACGGCTGCTATGGGACACGCGACTTGTCCCAAAATCAGTATCCCTTTCCGACGCTTCTTACGCTGCTTTTTGTAAGTTTCTTTGACCGGGTATACGTCATCGGTAGGACGTTTGGTCCCAGACCGAAAATCGACACCGAAGAACACCAAATCTGTGAACCCCCTCCCAATTGGACGAAAAGTAAACCCCGAAAACAGGGAATCCTACTTAGTAAGCAAATCTTCATCGCGTAAAAGTAAATACCCCTAAATATCCTTCTCCCATCAGCGGCCGGAGATTCCGGAGGACCGTTAGACATCTTTCGAGAGCCTGCCCTCACTATTGGAAGGCTCTGGAATCCCTGGACAATGGCGGACACGGACGACACGGCACAAGCAATGCTATCGAGACGATGGATGCGAACAGGCAGCGCCAAGAAGCGCAACCTCAAGGCGCTCCTTTGTCTGCCGATGCGTATGCTATTATAGGATAGACCACTGGTTCTCAAATGGGGGTCCGCGAAGCCCTGCAAGAAAAGTTCTATTTTTTTTATCGAGACAAAAACATTCCGATTTTTGGGTGAGTTTCCTCGTGTGTATATCAGCGAGAGAAGTCTACTTCACACTAGCCCTTTATTATATGTATTCAATAAATCATTATTATAATTAACCTATACGTTTTCCTTCCCCTCACCACGAACCGGGTCCGCCATTATCTCCGCCGATCCACGAGGGGTCTGCGAAACATTAGTGGTTGAGAACCACTGGTGCTAGACCGACCAAGCGCAGGCATGCACCAGTTTTAGTCTTTGCCTTTGTAATTTTTCTCGTTTTACAATTTTCACGTTCAGCGCTGTCGGTTCCTCCGCCATTGTGTGTAGCAGAAGGTCTTGTAACGCCATACCCGACCTTCAATTTTTGTTTCCTTTTATTCCGTTTACTTCACCTCGTCATTACCAGGTCATTTCCATTTCAAATTCTACCGTGTCGTTGTTCTTCCCAGCATCGGCCTTTCTGGTGGCTCGGGATCTCGACAAGAGAAGTTCGGCAATGGCGGCTCACTTTGGCGCCTGCTTCAAGCGTCTGTAGTTCTGGCGCATAAGGCTTGATCCCGTGTACAGCTTTCAGATATTTGGAAGAATGTCGCGCGAACGCCGACTGGTCTGTAGACGAGCGCCTTTTCGCGGCGGGAAGACCGGGTCTGCGGGACTACGCGCGTGTGGCAGAAGCAGACTTGTACCTGAAGGCCCGTTCACACTCTTGCAACCGAGTACGACCGAGAGAGACCAATCCGGTTTTTAAGCCTCTTGCGACCTCTTAGAACCGGGCGCGCTGCCGCGGAGCTGGTCCTAAGACGTCGTAAAAGGATTAAAAACCGGTCTTGCCTCTCTCGGTCGTACTCGGTTGCAAGAGTGTGAACGAGCCTTAACGCGTTAAGGCCCGTTCACACTTTTGCAACCGAGTGCGACCGAGAGAGACCAAACCGGTTTTTAAGCCTTTTGCGATCTCTTAGGACCAGCTCCGCTCAGTGCATCCGGTCCCAAGAAGTCTTTCTCGGTCGTACTCGGTTGCAAGAGTGTGAACGCGCCTTTACGAGTAATGGATTACTTGTAATCGATTACATTTTACTGTAATTTTGTAACGCTTGCATTACTTTCTTTAAGGAGTAACGACCCCTGTAATCGGGTTACTTTTTTGCTGTAATTGATTACAAAATCACCCATCACAAGTTTTCCCAATTTCTTCTCCTTTTTTTTTTGGGGGGGGGGGGGGGGGGGAAGGGGGGAGGCGTTAAATGTGCTGGAGTCACTCGGCTCTGAGCAAGGGTCAATGTTTTTTTCGAAACCGCTTCTTTGTTTCCTGGACACATTTCATATTTTTTTTTTTTACACCGGAGGCTACGTTTGGGCACGAAAAACGACCTTATTCAGCCTCTTGCGAGTAGTGCATTTAAACGGCGCTCTTTTTCATTTAATTTCACAAGAGGGATTGGCTGTGTTCGCGTCACTCACTCAGCTCTAAGCAACGACGGTCGAGGCTTTCTTTTTTTTTTCGGCACAACTGAGCTCGAGGCCCCAAGGATTATGTTACCGTAATAAAAGAACTGAATGAAAAGTAACGTGGGAAGTAATGTATTACTTTAGAGTAATTGTTCGATTACTTTGGAGGCTGTAATTGTAATTCTAATCACTTACTTTTTACAGTAGAGTAATTGTAACTGTAATCGGTTACTTTTTTTTTTCAGTAACGTGTACAAGTCTGGGCAGAAGGCAGGCGCCTGGCCTCGCCGACTCGCTGTTTCAGGCCGCGATAAGGCGGTCATTAACAGACCAGTCGGCATTCGCGCGATATTAGTACAGAAATCTGGAGGCTGCGACGTGACGGGCGTGATGGTTTCGTGAGGATCGTGACGTGCGCGATGAAATAAGTATTCACCTAGGGTCAAGAAATAAAAGATAGGGTTTAAAACAAGTCAGCGCTATCAAGCCTAGCCGCTATTCTCGCAAACGGCCAATGCCCGGCTCACGCGGTTCTTCTGGCCGCCAGCATGATGGTCGACACCGGACGATTCTGTGGCTTCTTCGGCTCTTTGCACCACTGTACAGTGTGTGAGTGCGCTACATCATTCAGGGCACACACCAAACGATAATTTTCAATTTCAGTCTTCAGGCGCTTAGGACCCAATTAATCAATCTTGAAAAAAAAGTACAACTTTTTTTACCATCATGGTTATTATACGTTATACTTATCACTGCGAAATTGCTACCTCACAGAAAATAGCGTATTTGCCGAACTATGGTCCGCAGACCACATTTGTGTTAAGGTTGACATTGTACGCTGTGCAGCTGGAGATCGCCCGCACAGCCTATACGACTTGCCGATGAGGCCAGCTCGTCCTAGGCCAATTTGCACGAAGGTCAACTCGCTGAGAATGGCTACCCGTCCAAGAACAATTTGTCCAAATGTCCCAAAAGAGCGTTTGTTGCCAAGTGTAATAATATTGCTGTCTCTTGCATTCCATCTCCCACCTAAAGCAGCCTGATGACCTTACTACAAACTGCTCTTCCGAAGAGATCCCCTACTACAAACTGGCTTGTTCGACAAATTGCCCGACGAGATGACCTGGACGATCCGTGCGGACTAGACAACGATTCGTTTCCTTTTTTTTTAATTTCTTTGTTCTTACCAGACAGGTCTAGTGTGGCAGTAAGGCAGTGTTATAGGCGTTACAAAGAAGCGACGGGATGCGTTACAGGTTCGTTGCAAATAAAAGAAGCACGATATTGTTACCGATAAAAAGTAACGCAGGTTACTTTTTATTCATTAAACATCAGGTTTTACAGTTTTGAGCTTGCAGGTATGCATAAGCGCCATAGATTTAAAACAAAACATTATGTCCATGCAGAGGAATATTAACTAATAGTTTCGCCGTGATGTCTAATCAGTGGCGTCACGAGGGTCAGCGGCACCCGGGGGGGGGGGGGGGGGGGGGACAGCCCGCCGGGACATTCCCCCCCCCCCCCCCCCGGCGCTGTCGCGTTGCCCGCCGCGACTCCCCCCCCCCTCCCCCCCCCCCCCCCCCCCCCCCCCCCTCCACTCTCGTGACCCGCCGCGACAGCCCCCTGAGCGCTGCACCCGGGGCGGTCCGCCGCCGCCCCCCCCCCCCCCCCTTCTCTGAGGCCACTGTGTGTAATTAATAAGCATTTCTTCCAGGGCAAACATCCAGGCAAACTTGGCTGTTCTTTTATTCATCAATCCGCATTTATATATGCACAATCAACCTTACTTAAAAAAGAAAAAAAAAATCCTACGTTTTTTCTTATAGATAAATAAGGACTTACAGCAGTTCTACTGTAATGCGGATATAAGGTCTCATATGATCTTACGTGCACTCATACATTAATTCGAGACATTCAAGTACTTGTTTACTAGAGTCTACCTTCACAGTGCTGCGCAAATTTGTGGAGGTTTTTGCTAAGTTCGATCCAGGCAAAGTCCGCCGTCTTTCATTCATCCTCCCTGGTGCATGCGGCACTATATATTGGTACTTATGTGCAGGTTTTAGGGGATTACGGAAGCGACAGCATCGATCAGGAAGTGCCTACTCCAGTGTTCGCGACAGTTGAGTTGAAACGTATGTATTTAACGACCAAAGAAGTGAGAACCACATGGGCCCTGCTTTTTGGCAAAAACAACAAACAAACTTTGAGTTGCTTTATTTTTCGGCCAAGTCGTTGAGTGCGTGCTTCGATACCGTTGGCCCCCCTTCTGTTGCCAAGTCCGTCTAGCTTAGCGGGGCATCGTGCGCGAGTGATCGTCAAATATACTATTTCCACACCACAGCGGGCCAGTTAGGGCCAAACAACGAGGTACTCACCGAAAAAATCCTCCCACTTTACAGAGTCGTCGGAATCCTCGGCGACGGTCGAAGCTGCCTCGGCGTCACCCAGCGGGCCCATCCTGTCGCCGCTCCAATTAATCGCGCGGAGAACACGTTTTCACTTCCGCGACCACGGCGATGCGACACGGGCAGCCGAGATGCCCCGGCAACAACCAACACTCGGCATCCATTAACCTTGAAAGCGGCCTCCACCCAAGCTCACGAAACACGACAAACAAGGCGACGCTTGTTTGCGTAAAACTGAGCGCACACACCCACGCGCCTCGGCACACGCCGAACGTGCAGCTCTCCGGCAACGATGTACGCGTTGTCGCTCGGTCCGTTCCGAATGAATCCCACGGACGTAGCCGTCGCAGCAGATGGTGCGTCGTTCCAGACTGGCCGCAGTTCACTCGAACGCCGCACACTTCACGAGAGAATCGACGACACCGCGCCGCTTTCGTCGGTTTCCGGACTGTTCGACGGAGGTTGTTTCCGTGCGGCGCACGATTCCGCAGGGCACGCGATGTTCGTGCGATCGGCAGCCGCGCCGAAAGTGTGCCGTCTTCGCGTTGTTTTGGACTGGCACGCGCGTCTGCTCTTGTCGCTGTCGTCTGCTATCGCGCCGGCGGCGGCGCTGCGGGGCACGCGGCGTCGTGGCTCCCTAGCGGCTGTCGGCGTTGCCGGCCCGAACGTCCGAACAGCCGAGCTCTCTCTCGGGACGTCCTCCTCGCCACACTGCAGCCCTACTCCGGCCAGCAGCTGTCCCGTTGTCGTCTGGAGGGCTGTGCGCCCGCCGAGCGTTTGGGCTCCCGTCTCGTCCGAATGACCGCCCATCCCATCGATCTGGGATTTAATCTGGTCTTCGTCGCCGGACAGAACGGACAGATATCGCCCACTTTCCGGGGGGATTTATAACTCCGACGGGCTCGTCGTTACATATTTTTACTTGTTTACCTTGTTCGAGTTCTTTTTTTTTTTATGTATGTTTCGACAGTGGCAAGTTAGTTTGCTTTGAAATGTCCTCAACGCTCGTCACTGGAGCCCATCCAATGCCGTGTCGCATGACATCCGGGAGGGGACAAACGTCCCCAGGGCCCCAGCTGCCACGCACGCTGTGAGATCTTGACTACCCCCCCCCCCCCTCCAAAAAAAAAAAAAGCGTCACTGTGTTTTTTAAATTTTTTCTATAATTATTATACTGTTTGAGTACTGACTGCGGTCAAGTTCTTTATGTTTTCTTCTTTTTTTTTTTCAACAAAATTATAAATTCCCGTGTTGTTCTAGCGTTTGTTCGAACGTACACGTGAGTAGAGAGCTGGTGTAAAAGGATAAGAGACGAATCCAGGGCTGTGCGACTGAAGCGCATAACCGAGACTAGGTCGAGAAATTCAGACAACCTTAATATACTCAACAAAGAGCATATCTCTTTTACCGAGCAATTTTCAAAGTACGCGCATTATTGGAGACATTAGCTAATAAACAAAAAATGCGTTTAATCATGAAAGATGCAACTAATCAACATGCATTCATTACCTTTTCTTTACGTATACGCGAGACAGTAGCCTGACTCGAGAAAGTGATGATCAGTCATTATCGAGCCTAAAACGCCGAAAAATTTGTTCAGCAGTAAACGCGAATTGAGAAGTTGTTGCTTCGTTTAGGTCGAATACGGAGATAAAGAGGGGGGGACCCCCCTTGTTCCAAACGCCACAGGTGTGTTGGAAGGTTGGACTCCGAGGCATAGCCAGGGGAAAGCTTATGGGGCTTCAGCCCGATAAGCTTTCCCCCTGGCTACGCCCCCGGTTGGACTCGTCAGGCTCTCCTCTCCAGTCACGTGACTATGCACAGCGTGGTGACTCCGTCTCGTCGCCACATAAAACCGCGGGTCCTCTCGATGCCCTTTGTAATCTGCGCGTGCGCTCGCTCTTCGAGGAAAAGTCTAGCCCCGGTGGTAGGTTCGTAAAAAGAAAAGAATATAGCGTCGGTTCTCCGTTCACGCGAAACTGCCCCAACGGAGACCCACCGGCAAGGCTCGGGAAGCGAGCAAACGCTACGGCCACCTCGGACCAATGAGAGCGACGAAGCATGTGTCAGCTCTCCGCAGGAGGGGAGCACTCCGACGACGACACGTCGTCACGTGCCTCTCTCTGACGCCCCGATTGGCTCTAAAGGAGACCGCAGTCTTCGCCGCTTGACGAGTCTATACGAAACGGAGTGCTCTTGCGTAGAGAGACCAGATTTTACAGAGAAGGAGCAACTCAAACCACAGAGAGCGTTTTCAATTTAATTCTCGCAGTGCGAACGCGGCAAAGCGTGGGGACGACGACGAAGCGCTCGTTCTAACGGATCCGTTTTTCCTCGCTCCGCCGACATATATTTATAACGCCGAGTTTAAAAGCCACTCGCGCCCCGGAAAAGGGCCCCATGGATCAAGGGGAACCCTTCGTTACTCTCCGACCGTCGATTTTGGATCCGGGAGGGACCAGTTTGGTGAATATGGAACCCGAGACTATGGACACCTCGCTAAACCTAGCGTCTGGAATACGAGGCACGGAAACTCGGGCTGCCGCTACAGGGACAACCGCGACCACGGCGGGCCCATCGATGGAAGGCCTTCAAATTATACTGGACCGGAATAGCCTCAGCAAATTCAAAGAATTTGGAGTTGCGAGGGAAGATATCGGAAGGCTCTTTGTAAGCTTCTTGACCTACCTCGCTACCGCACAGCAAGGAAAAATGCGCGTAACCAGCCGCAGCAGAGACGGTGAGCTCAAGCCTTGGACAAGAATATGCCACGCTAACTCAAGCAGCACAATTGACAAAGACCCCCCCTAAAGAGCCAGAATGCTAAAATTAAACGGGACAGAAGCCGCCCCTTTGGCGGAAAATATGGAGGACAACTCCTGGATACCACAAGGTCAATCCATATGGGTCGCAAAAGTGGAGCAAAAAAGCGGCCCAAAACCAATCGTCCGCGTCATCACCTGGAGGCCGCGCTACCGCAGCGCGACTGTGTTTTGCGCGGCCAAACACTAAGCTGATAAAACATTAAAGAGACAATTTTGGTGTTTAATAGAGTTTGCTTTAAATCAAAGTATTATTTATTCATAAGAACTTAGTTTAGGCATGTTCAGTTGGGTGATTTTTTAGGTTATGTTTAATATGTATTATTTTGTGCATACTCGTTGCGGCATCTACAACGTCGCTATTTTTCGCCGTCAGCAGGAGTTCACAGTCCTGATACGCCTGGTGTTTGCATTGTTTGCGTTCGCCAGTGTGCCTGCATTTCTGTAGCTCCCGTCAAACTTTCACTTTGCAATCGTTTAACGAATTCGTCGTCTTAAGTTTTCCCACGTGTCCGAGTGCAAAACGGTTTGTACTAGTTAAAGCCTATTGCGCCGTTCTGCGGGTTTTGTAGTCGAGCGCCCGCCGGGCGCGTTCAAGGCTCCGTTCGTCAGGACGATGCGCCTGCCGCATGTCAAGAGACGCTGCTCGGAAGCGCGATGCCCAAGTGATGACTGCACCGCTGGCATCACACTCCATCATTTTCCTGTGGACTCTGCAAGGTAGCAGCTGTGTCCGCTGCAACTATGTCTGATGTCCTGATGTCCGTTGTCCGGTGATGTCTGGTAAGTTCTTGACCTCTTCTATGGGCCCTCATGCATGCTCATTTAGTAATAGGCACCCGCTGATCGAGCTTTTTTTGGGCCCAGTCTTCGTTCCAAGCCTGCGCGAGACGAAACTAATCTCAAATATTAGTGACGGCTTTGCTTGACCTCTGCCGAACGGCTGCGCGACCCCAAAAACCTAATAAGAGACAATGACTGAACATTTCAGTTTTAGCGAACTTTCATATTATGGTGTGAATAACATTAAAACATCCTTATTACTTAAAACGCGTTTGGTGTCGTCCCTCTAACATGCTGGCGACATCAGGTCTACTTGCTGTAGATATCATGCTCGGGAATCTAGTAATGTAATCGTCTGCGTTGTGGACCTATCTAACCTCACGGGCACAGAGGTCTGCTCCGCGCTCATGGCGTTCGCTGGACCCAGACGGTAGACCAAGTACAAAAATGTCCCTGGTTCACCGCTAACACTATTGTGCAATCTTGTTTCTTTCTAAAATGTCCACTTTAGCCCAGGGTATGTAAAGCAATACACTGCTTCACGTTCAGGCGGAGGGTCTGGGTTTAGTTCGGCCGGAACACAAGCCTACAGAACAAGACACCACAGCAGCTGCGGGAACGGGCGGTATGCTCCAGGCACTTCAAGACCTCCATTTCTTTATCGAGGAAGGCTGCGTCGTCATGCAATACCAACATATTTCACCACTGAAGTTAAGTACAAAAACCTGTTTTCATTATTACTGAGAAGGTTAGCTTATTCAGAAGGTATTTCATATGCAGATGCAAGGAACTGTTTCAGTGTACATAACGTGTGTGCTTAACTTTGCATAGGTGCCAAACATGCCGTACGGAGCAGCAGCCCTGGCCAATTGATCAGCGAGGGCGAGCTGGTCAGCAGCAGTAGCACCGGTGGGCCTACATCATTATTGTGTCACACGCACCGCACTACGGAACAAGGTAAAGCAATTGCATATTGGCGGAGAAGTGTTGCAGGCCATGTTTCTTGTATATTTTGGACTGCCGCACAGTAGCCATCCTTTCTATGATAGAGTGTGTTCCCTGTACTTGTGCTTTCTTGGGAAACATGCAAAACATCTATGACCATGTTTTTACATTAAAACAGAATGACTAATGTTCTTGACAGATTTTTTATTTGCCTCGTCATTGCTTCGCAGATGTGGGAAGCAGTCTCACGCGTCTGTGACCTGTAGCTCGAAGACCAGCCCTCCAACCAGAGTTCATGGTAAGTTTTGATAGCTTGCATTGTTTAGGACAGTCTTTGAAGATTACTTTTTGCATAGTACTTGACCGCCTATAGCTGGTTCAGCTTCTTCAACCACTCTGTCACTTTGTTTCCTTTGTTTTGTTTTTTGTAGTGGATCACACATACAAGATGAATGGACATGGTCTGCCGTCTGGAGGAAATTATGTGTGGGCGCCCGAACCTTCCCCTACCGATTGATGCGTCGGTGACTTCGACTTCTACAGTTTCTCACCAACGTAGGTGTCTGTCATAATGCACAAAGTTTACTTGTACTTCCACATTTTCCACAGCGGAGGCATATTGTTTATTTCATTAATTCTCGAGACGTTTCATAGTTGCTCTTACTTTCCCCTTGCAGGGTCCTGTGCCACCCGCACCGAGGGCAAGGGGAAGATGGACGTGTTGAGGGCCAAACTTGGACAGCTTCGGAAACACAACAAGAGACTCCAGCGACGACTGCAGTGACGGCGTCATATGCTGACTGACACTGAGATAGTTGAAAGTGTACGTAGCCTTGTGTCTCCAGCCGTTGCTGCCCTCGTTGCAGGTTCGGCAGACGGTGGTGCAGCCAGAACAAAGCTTTTGCCTTGGGCGTGTACTTTCACAGCCCTAAGGGTTACCGGCACTGTAGGCAATTGTTGAGGCTCCTATCCGTTAGGTCGTTACAGCTTTGGCTTCAGCGTATTCTCCTGAGGGTTGGTTTTTACCCATAAGC